AGGACACGGCTGAGTAGACTCAGGACATTGCACCTCTGCTGCTGCTGCTGCCGCCTTCTAGGGGAAGGATTCCTGAAGGACTAGTACGGTCCCCTTGGAGTCAGCACAGGACAGCCACTTCACCAGCAGCCTTGGCTGCCTCCCCAGTTTAGATGGCGTGTGTTCCTCCGGCCACAGAGACAGCGCTGCTCTCCGCTACACTAGTGAATCAGTTGAAAGGCACCGTGTCCAGTGGCATGGCTTGTCTGCTTGTCCCGTGGTGACAGTGTGTGACATTCTGTCCTCATGAGGTCTCACCATCCACACTCTGTTCTTTCATCCCCTCCCCCCCGACCCTTGTCTCCATTCACACTGTGGCAGCGTTTCTCCAGCTGGACAGATGGGGTCCACATTTCTTGCGCTCTCTGGGCACCCCGAGTCAGGGCCACCTGCCCCTTTGCCTTGGGGTGGTTGTATTCAGATGAAGGCATGGAGATGGGACTCAGAACGAGTAGAATTAATTTTTTTTGCTAATACATGAAACACATATTTTAAGTGTTCCTTTTTCCCCCTTTTAATTTAAATTGGGAGAACGAACGGCATCGTCTCCTTTCTCCCCCACTGGAGTCTGTGCACATTTCTGCCCGTCGTGAGCTTCCGTCTTCTTCCGTTGGTTCTCTGAGCAAATGCACAGCAATGCCTTTCCCAGTTCTCCACCGTCATCAGCTGCTGCTTTACTACGACTACTCGTGTAATTGTGAGCGGATCTTAAGTCGGTCGGTCATAGGCCTGTTTCCCTAGTGCGGCCTGCAGGCCAGATGAAAATTGCTCTGAAAACTTGTAGCTCCTGGTCCTCAAAGACCAAGAGAATGGGTTTGTGTTGCGATCAGGAAAATGAACTAGAGAAGCCTAACTTGGGGAAATAGGTTTCACACCCCTGTCACCCCTTAGACTCTCCTGTCACATTACTCTCCGTTTGGAGAGTGTAGGGCTAATGGGGAGAGGCATGCATGCTTTGGGCTTCAAGGTGCGTCTGAAGGCTCCAGGACACTGTCTCCAGGATAAGGCCTAGCCTCGGGGCACCCTGGCTTCTGCCTGATGCTCTTGGTGAGTGTGAAAGGACTGACCCTTTTGCAGATCCTAGTGGGGGCCACCGGGTTCTCAAGTAAACTGGCCCGTCCATTGCCTGAAGGCACTTCTGCCCTGCGTTAGAATGCCGTTGCTCTAGTGAGCAGGGCTGTAGGGGCTGCCTGCCTGCCTGCTTCTGCATGTGTATTCTCACGGCACTCTAGATGACTGTCCCCTCCTTGGTTGCCCTTCGCCAGCCCCAGGATGACAGGGGAGACCATAGGCAGTCTCTAGAAGGACAGGAAACCTGAGACTTAACAGCTGATGCGGCTCTTGTCTAGCGTCTGTTTCTCACCAGTCAGAACTCAGGCGGGTTTGAACTCGCATTTGAAGTTGGACCAACCACTCAGCATCTGCCTGAGGTTGGAGGATTTTACAACCACTCATTTCAAGGTGAAAATCCACCCACACAGATCCACACTCTTGTGTCTTGTTATAAGCAGCCACGGAGCATGCTGGGAGCTCCCATTGTTGGGCTTGTGCTTTGATTTCCGTTTTCCAAGAGAAACATCAAAGCTGACCTGATGTAAATATGTACCTAGACTGTTTTTAAACGTGTTTCTTCACGAAGGCTTCGTTTGGCTGAGGGAGCCTGTATCACCCGTGTAAGTTGGTAGTTGGGCACTTTATATTTTTCTAAAAATGTGTTTTGGATCCTGTACTCTAATAAATCATAAGTTTCTTTTTAAAAATTTTTCCAAAAGTTTTCTCCATTTTCAAAAGCCCTGTTATAAAAGTAGAACTTTCACAATGTTAAAATACTAAATATTTGGTGATAGCAACTTCTCTTCAAATGAATGCCAAGGGTTTTTTGTTTTGGTTTGGTTTTGGTTTCTTTTGTACAATTAATAAACGAAGTTACCGAGAGAAACCACACCAGTGGCCTGCCCACCTTCATTCAGCAACAGCGAGAGAAGAGAAAGCAGGGTCTTCCTCCTGAACAAAGTGGGGGAAAACAGCAGATCCTAGTTTTCCTTTTAACATCTGACAAGTGTCTTACTGAGTGCGGACTTCGGGGCCTTGGGAACAGAGTGTCTGGTTGTCAGAGGAGGGACGCCTTCTGCCTGTGAGCTGAGAACTGCCAATGCAAGGACAAAACCAGGACCGTGGTGTCTGTTGTCACTGTCGGCAATAGCTGCACTGCACAGCGCTCGAGTGTCCTGTGTACACTGGGTGGGACGCCCCTGTATGCGGTAGCCCTAGAGACCTGGTGGGGGCGTTTTCCTCATAGGACCTAGAACTTGCCCTGCACACTCACCCAAGGTCCAGTGTCTACAGACATACTCAGAAGTAGGAGCAGAGAGACTTGAGATGTCCAAGGCTAGACCATCCCCGTCACCCCGGTTTGCCATGACCTTGTTTATGAGCTTGGAGCACCTCCGTGGACTCAGTTATGTCTGTCACAGCAGCTGCTTATGCTCTTGTTCGGAAGTGTTTGTGTCTTCCTTGCCCTAGGAATGGAGCCAGGCCAGCAGCAGGTCCCTCTCCTCTAAAGTCAACTGTTTGCTCTGGTTCCAGCTGGAAGGGGAGGGGATTGGATGACCAGAGGCTTCATTTCAGAGCATCTGTGGCTGTTGTCACCCAGATGTGACCCACGCTGTCTTTGTTTATCTGACTTTGTTTGGATGGAAGAAAGGAATATGTATGGAGGGAAAATCCAGAATCCACTGGGCTCTTGATGGGAGGATTCCGATTGTTCTCATGGGTGCATTGGCTAAACAGTTCCATGACCTCATTGGTGATTGGGCTTCACCAAACACCTTGGCTACACTGGGCGACATCCCTTGCTTGTCTTTTGATTTGAAAGGAATGAGGGTCGCTGTCCCTCAAGGCTGCTTAGAGGCAGGCCGCTGCTGGATTAGGCCCTTGCTGGGATAGGATCCTGCTGTGTAAACCTAGGCCAGGCTGTTTGTGCAGGTGGGTGGATGGGAGAACCATCCCTGAGCCCAGCCCTTCACAGCCATGCTACGGACACAACTACCTCACTGCACTGCTTCCCAACCTGTTCTAAGCATCCTGCAGCCTGGGAGTTGAAGAACATTCCCTTCCGTGGATAAACACTCTGTGCAATTACAGCATCAATGTGCGGCAGCCGAGTGGTGATGATTGTATCAGGTTAACACTGCTTCTGAATAAACAGACCACAAAACACGGAGACTCAAGCACTTCCGTGCTCTGGGATGGCTGGGGAGGGGGAGGCTGGCATCCGGAGGCCCATGCCTGCAGAATGACTGCCATCCAGTCTGCGGAGAATAAGGGTGGAGGGACACGTCTAGATGTTCCCATGAATGGATCAGGTCAGTCTCGTCATACAGCACGTGAGGTCACTGCATAGTAGCTGCCACAGGTCACCCCTGCTCGTCCCGTCCCACAGCAGGGCAGCCAGCAGCGTCAACAGTTCCCCAGCCTTGTGGGCTGCCCCTTACACAGCCAGTACCCAGTGTAGATGCTGTGGGGAGCTGAGAAGGGTCTCCTGGGGTGGCCTCTACTGGGCATTCATCATTAACTGGGATCTTTGTCCAGGCGGGGTGGATGCCTGAAGACCGAGGAGCTCGCACACTGAGAGTTGGTTGTCAGTTCTGGGGCAGCAGAGGCTGCAGGATCCTGGGGAGGGGGGGCACGTGGCCAGCCAGCCTAGCTGACCTGGTGAGGTCCAGGCCAGTGACAAACCCTGTTTCAAAGGAGGAGTACGGCCTGAGGTGGTCCTCTGGCTTCCACACACAGGTGTACAGGTCGGTACGAGCACATACATTTATTTTTTAAAAATGTATGTGCAGCCGGGCGATGGTGGCGCACGCCTTTAATCCCAGCACTCGGGAGGCAGAGGCAGGCGGATCTCTGTGAGTTCGAGACCAGCCTGGTCTACAGAGCTAGTTCCAGGACAGGCTCCAAAGCCACAGAGAAACCCTGTCTTGAAAAACAAAAAAAAAAAAAAAAAAAAAAAAATATGTGCACTGGTGTTTGGCCTGCACATATGTCTGTGTGGGGGTGTCAGATCCAGGTGTGAGCAGCCATGTAGATGCTGGGAACTGAACCCGGATTTCCGGGAAGAACAACCAGTGCTCTTAACCACTGAGCCTCTCTCCAGCCCCTACATTTGTCTAAAAAAAAAAAAAGGCCTTAGTCAGGGCCACTATAACATAACTCCAGAGGAGCCTGGGAGGCATGTCCCTGGAGGGATGTAAAACCAGACCAGTGGGCACTGTGGTCTTCGTGTGTCCACACCCAGAGTCCTTCCTGATCCCTGTAGGGACACACAGTTCTCCACCCACTATGGGGACCAGCAACCTGCATAGTAGTGACCAGGGCTCCAGCTCCCAAATCCCGGCTGGGTGAGACGACCAGGTTTGCTGCAGCCCCAGAAGCCACCAGTCTTCAGGAGCAATGGAGGTTTTGAGTAACCCCACTGCTCTAGGTCCCTTTCCTGTTACCACGCTCATCCAGAGGCCCTTTCTCAAGCCTGCCTGTCCGGTTACATCAGAAGGGAGGGGCATGTCAACCTGCAGCCAGCCTGGAGGCCAGGCCCGAGCTCCATCCCGTAGTTTTTGACATGATGTCACTCTTCCGAGTGGCACTCAGATCTCAAATTGGTTACTAAATAACATACACAAATGGCACTGGGAGTTCTCATCTGGAACATTCTAGCCTCTCCGGTGGCCTTGCGCTGCATGCTCAGCTGATACCCACCAAGTCTATCTGATCATTTGAAATACGTTTCCCAAACCGTTGTAGCTCGAAGATCTCCTTGTCTCTCTTTGTAGCTGAACACTGCCTGTATGCCACGCTTCCGTTATCTGTTTCTCTGTCGATGAACACCACTTCAAGATGGTGCCCATTTCTCCCTCCTCAGCCCTGATGGCTGTTCTCTGTTCCCGTGAAACCATCTCCTGTAGATGTTGGCTGTGAGACCACCTGGGCTCAAAATCCTGCAGCTGGGAAGGAGTGCGTGTGTGGCAGGCGACACTGTTCTTCTACCTGGCTGTTGATGGACACTTGTTCCCGCCTCAGCCGTTGGGACCAGCATGCCATGAGGCCCCTTGAAACCTCCGCATCCTGGCACAGCACAGAGATGGTTCTTGCTGACCTCAAGAACAGTTTACCTGCTGAGGGGTGAGGCTGTCCCACTGAGAATGTGACCTCTGCCTACCAGTGCTGATGTCTGTCTTGCTCAGCCAGTATTGAAACTTTAAGGACCACAGATGACTCAGCCTTAAAGAAATTTGTCGCCAAGCGTGGTGACCTGAGGTCCAGTTCCTGAACACATGCCGGATGAGAAAACTGACCCCAACAGGCTGTCCTCAGACCTGCGCGCACATGTGTGCACACGTGCACACACACACACACACGCATACATTTGCATACAAATATGTAAATAAATAGATAAATATGCGGCTGGAGAGATGGCTCAGTGGTTGAGAGCACTGCCTGCTGTTCCAGCAGCCCTGAGTTCAATTCTCAGCACCCACATGGTGGCTCACAACCATCTGTAATGAGATCTGGTGCCCTCTTCTGGCCTGCAGGCACACATGCAGAAAGAACACTGTATACATAATGAATAAATAATTTTTTTTAAAAAAGAAGTATAAACCTTTAAGAAAAATAGATAAATATGCTTTATGATATTTCTCAAAAAATGAAAAGGCGGCAGTGGGGGAGCCCAGCCACAGACCACACACTCAGCATGCAGAAAGCCTCGGGTTCTGCTTCCAAACTCGACAATCCGCGCACTAAAGCAGTATAACCGAGCCCCGAGCCCCGAGCCCCCAGTCACCCCTTCCCTCTTCCCACATCCGTGTACATGTCTGTGTTCCCTCCTGATCTCTCGGTGCCAGGCACTGTCCCTGATGAAACCGGCTGGTGCTTCTGCCTCACACCTGTGTGACGCCTGCAGGATCTGGCCCCTCCCGCAGCATCCATCCTCCTGCAGAAACGGACATGCTGGAGAAGTGGCCTTACACTGAGCACGGACAAGGTTCCGGCAGCACTGTGCTCCTACCAAGGGGCTTAACCTTCCCCCCTCTGCAGCACACGCTGGTCCCCAGCCACAGTGAGTGACCTAGATGTTGTCTGGAAAATGTAGCCCAACACTGCTAGGTTCCAGAATGTTCTTTTGTTCCAGGTATGAAATTCGAAAGAAACAGTTTATATTATTCTTAATGGTGGGGGGAGCTGCAACCCTGCCTTCCCTTGACAAGCAGGAGCCTTGGTGGTCACTGAGTCACAGGATGATGGGGCAGACTAAGACGCAAGGTAGCATCGTCACTCACAAATGCCAGATGCCTGTGTGTGGTTTCCTCTGGGCCTCTGGGGTTTGGTTTTGTTTTAATTAGTTCTTTTTTCCTTTCTTTTCTCCCTCTCTCCCTCCCCCCCATTTCTCCTTTCCTCTGAGGGTTTTGTTTTGTTTTAATTAGTCCTTTTCCTTCCTTCCTTCCTTCCTTCCTTCCTTCCTTCCTTCCTTCCTTCCTTCCTTCCTCCCTTCTTCCCTCTCTCCCTCCCTCCCCCCCTTTCCTTCTTTCCTCTGGGGGTTTTATTTTGTCTTAATTAGTTCCTTTTTTCTTTCTCTTTTTTCCTTTTTCATCGCCAAGTGATTTTGTGTCCTCATTTGATCTCGTGTTTAGCCCCAGGCTGACCTGGAATTCCTGGTACCATCCCTCAGTCTGCCAGGGGCTGGAGCCTGCGCACTCCTTTGCGATCTCCGTCGGTGAGGGGCAAGACAGTTCCCAGCAACTTTGCCAACAAAGAACAACAATCTTCATCCCGTGAGAGCTTTGCGTGATGCAGAGATGCTGGACACACGAAACACAGGTGAACACTTCTAGAATGTTCTGTAAAGTCACTTTATCGTCCCGTGACAGGACACTGGCAGAAAACACATGTCTCCTGTGTTGTGGCAAATGAATATACTTGGAATTCTTCCAGTTCCTACCAAAGGAAATGAAGGCTCAGAGAGGCTGAATAACTTGTCTGAGATGCCACAGCGCTGAGAGACAAGGCTCAGGGCTCAGCCCAGCTCTGCTTGGTGCCCAAACCAGCTGCTGTTCACAGTTCTTCTGGTCTCATCTACTTAAACACCTCACTTTCCTGGGAACAGCTAAAATCAAGCCATCCCACCCCCACCCCTAAGGTGCCTGCGGTTCTCTGTGGCCTGGTGACAACCATAGCAGGGACGATATGACAGTTTGGCTGTTAGCGAAACACACAGAAAGATAGACAGGCCAAGGCACAGTTATGTGTGCGATATCATTTGCCTCCGCAGGGATCAGAAGCTGCCCATCCGAGATGCTCAGAGGCTGGCCTGTTGGCTCCTTGGATTCTCAAGCTGGCAGCTTGGTTGCTTTCCTCTGCGAGCCGTCACCATTCACTAAGACGCTCCAGGTAAGAGCCTCCTCTTGGAGCTGGGGTGAGCATGGTGGTTCTGAGCAGGAGACCTGGTTCTTTAATTCCCAGGTGAGCGCGGTGGGTCTGTGTGTTGGAGACGACCATCCCAGGGTGAGCCTCACAGGCCAGGGCGGCACTGCACACAGGGGAATAGAGACAAACACATGGTTCCAGGGTGAGAGCACACGGGCACCACCATGCAGTTCACCAGCACCATCTGGGCATGAGTCACCCCAGCGTGGCCCCCTGGCAAACCAAGGCCAGCAGCATTACCCTCCCTGCCCCCCATAGAGCTCTTTAAGCCCTGAAGCCCGGTGACCTAACAGGAGGAGGTCATTGAGCTGGGAACACAGCCAGGAGCGAGCCAGTGCATAAGATGAACCAGGCACCCCGCCAGCTGGTCGCATGGCCAGGGCTCTGCTGCTCCCTCCAGGGAACCCAGTTCCTCTGTGGGGATGAGGGTGTGGGGGCAAGGTAAGTTTCCACATCCTCTCCAGGGCCTCTGGAGATGGCAAGCCTGGCTGGTGAGGTCACTGCTTCTCCTGTGGCTGCACAGCACAGAGGGAGGCCAGAGAGACAGGTGCCTGTGCACCTTCTCATGGACAGGATCCCTCTGCTCTGGAACCTCAAGGCTTCCAGAAGCACACCTGGGGATAATGTTGCTGCCATTTTTAGGAGAAACATTGTCAAATCTCCAAGGAAGGCCTGGGCGCATTGCATGTCCCTGTGGTGCCTCTGAGGTTTGAATCAGGGACCCACCAGGGTCTAAGGAAGCTTAGGAGCCAGCTGTGAGCTCAGCAGTCCTGTCTGAGGGCTGTGAGCACTTCCTCACCAGGAGGGAGTGATGAGGAGAAACATGGTGGTTCTCATCCCACCTGAGACCAGGCCACGGAACTTCTTAGTTGTTGCCAGGAGCAAGGCCACCACAGACCCAGAGGATGCTGATCCCAGAGGAAGGCAGAGGACTTTGGGGTGGACACTGTACTGGGCGGGTGCTGTAGGCTGGTGGCTGCCTAGAGTAGGTGGAGCCTAGTGGTTCAGCTTGTCACCCAGCACTCGGGAGGCTGAGGCAGGAAGATTATTGCAAGTTCAACTGGGCGGTGGCGGCTCACGTCTTTAATCCCAGCACTCAGGAGGTAGAGAGGCCATCTCTGTGTGTTCGAAGCCATTCTGGTCTACAAAGTGAGCGCTATTGCTGGGCGATGGTGGCGCACGCCTTTAATCCCAGCACTCGGGAGGCAGAGGCAGGTGGATCTCTGTGAGTTCGAGACCAGCCTGGTCTACAGAGCTAGTTCCAGGACAGGCTCCAAAGCTACAGAGAAACCCTGTCTCGAAAAAAAAAAATTTAGCAAAGTGAGCGCTATTATATATATGACAGCCAGCAGTATTATACAGAGAAACCCTGTATGGACAGCAAAATAATAATTATTATTATAATTATTATTATTATAAAGATTGCAAATTCAGCCTGACCACATAGACTATTAATCTGGGCCGGGCACAGCCTGATGGTAAAGTCACGCACAGACCAAGTTCAGCCACCAGCCCAAGAAATATATTAGATATATTAAAGATATTCTACACCAGGCATGAGAGACAGTGCCTGTGATCTCTACGTCCTGGAGGGAGGGGAGCTGAGGCAGGAGGATTTCCACAAATTCAAGGCCAGCCTGTGCTAATGCTCTGCACGCTAAAATACAAACACAACTGCGGTCCTGTTGCATCCGTGCCCGTGAGGGGTTTGTTCTAGCCAGCTGGATTTTATGGGTGCCACCAAGCATCTAACTGAATCCCCTTGAGCGCATTGAGTTCACTAACAGACACACTTGGTCCAGGAGCACTTTAGTTATGGCGAGGCAGAGGGACGGTACATTTACAAACTCAGGAGGATTCTCTTGAAACGTTCCAAGTCCAAACTCCTGACACTGCATTCTGGGTACTCCCCTTCCTCAACCATATACTTAAAAATGCCTGCCTGCCTCGGTGGATGAGAACGCTTGGGGACCAGCCTGGGGACCTGTGGGGACCAGCCTGGGGACCTGTGGGGACCAGCCTGGGGACCTGGGTTCCAGCCCACAGAAAAAGGTGGAAGGAGAGAATCAACTCTGTGAAGTTGTGCTCTGACTTCCTAACACACTGTGGCATGCACATCCACACATACACAATAATATAACTAAAAAATAAATAAATAAGTGATTAGGTGTGGCACGTACCTATAACCCCAGCTTACAGGGGGTGGAGGCAGGAGATTCAGCAGATCAAAACATCTTCAGCTTCAGAGCGGGTTTGACGCCAGCCTGGGCTACACTGGGACCCCCTACTCCGAATTCTTCTGTAAGAGAAGCTAGTACACCCTTCCACCTGGGCTCAAGGCGCCTCCTCAGACAGCATGCCACGCTCTTGCCCCAGCACCCAGTGTCGTCGGCTTCCCATGTGACACCTGTCCCTGACCTGACTTCAGGATGTGGGTCACCCAAGGGTCACTCCAGGAGGCTGCCCCAGCCTGTAGATCTGTGACAACTCAGCAGGCAGTTCTAGGTACCTATGGCTGTCACACAGGTCTAGCCAAAGGGTAGCACCCTGGCCTTGTCCACAAAGCCGGAAGGGAAGATGTGCCCATTCACCACAGCCGCCTGCTGCAAACATCTCACACTTCCCCAGGAGCCCCACGCACGCCCAATTCGGGCAGTCATAAAAACCCTGCAGAAGTCGGTAGACCTGCCTGCCACAGGCAGAGGTGTCTTCTGTAGACTGAGAACAGTGGTGGGGCCTGGCAGGGGCTACCTGCCTGCAACATCATCTGGGAGCAACAACCAGGCATATGACACCACCCTACACACACACGCACACACACGCACATGCACACACTCACAGCTGTCCCCCGGAGGTTGCCTGTGCCTTCTTTGCAGAAGGCTGAGTAGAGACTGGTCATCTCGGCAGGTGACAGGACAGAACAGAAGCCATGGCAATGCTGGCTGAAGCTGGAGGTTCTAAGTTGTCCCTCTCCATGTCCTGCTATTTGCTGGCCACCTTGTTCGGCCTAGACCCTAGGCTGCCCCCTGCCTGCAAACAGGATGTGCTGGGTTCCTCACGCCTGAGAGTCTGGGACCTTGGCATCCAGAGGAACCACTGCAGCTGGGGATGTGTTCAAAACCCACCAGGGGACCGATGAGATGGCTTCAGCAGGTAAAGGCGTTTGCCGCAGAGCCTACAACCTGAGTTCAATCCCCGGGACCCACAGACGGAGAAAGCCAAATCCTGCAAATGGTCCTCTGACCTCCACGTCTACACCGTGGCATGTGTGCATGTACAACTCACACACACACACACACACGTACACACGCTGCTCCAGCTGAATTTGACTTTTGACCTGCAATTTTCTAGCTAGTTGTGGATTCAAAATTGTTTTAAACATTGTGTGTGTGTGTGTGTGTGAGACTGTGGCCTTGGCCACACAAGTGCCATGGTGTATGTGGAGGTCAGAGGACAATTAATGAGACTCGGTCTGACCTTCCGTGTGGCTCATGGGCTCAAGCTCCAGTTGTCAGGCTTGGTGACTGAGGTATCAAGCTGGACATATTGGACATCTGGAGACTTAAGCTACTAAAGCCATCCTCCTGTCCCCCGCCATGCCTTATTTAACAGGAATAAAGGCACAGCTGAGCCGAAGTTTTAGCCACTCCTGGGAGCAGTGGTTAATGGGCAACAGTATCTGAACATGCTTGGGGTCCAGCTCTTTTGGTGGGGGCTCTCATCCCCTAGTCATGGGGACCACCCACAAGTCCCCAGAAGGAGGCCTTACCCCGTAACTGCTTCAAGGTTTGTGTGACTATGGGGAAGTCTGTGAGTTTGGCTGGCCCAAAGCAGTGGCCCCTGGCTATGCCCTTTGGTGGGTGTGTGGGAAATACTGTCAGTGAAATGGGGGGCTCTCCATTCACCATGTCACTGTGTGGAGCAACCCCACAGCCATCTCACTGTGACCTCTGTCACTGTCCCCACTCAGGACAACTAATGCCTTCTGTGCATGCACCCTTCTACGCCATGGGGCCCAGGGGGCTGAGTTCTCACCTGCCACCACCCTCCTCTGTGCCTGGAAATCCCAGGTCTACCCCAAACCCTATGACACCTGGTGGTTGCATCCATGCCCCTGGGTCATGAAGTCTTTGTGCACTTGCCTTCATCCCTCTGTGGTGGCTGTTCCTGGGACACGGGCTGAAGGACAGCAGCTAAACTGTCCTCCTGGCGGTTACCCTCCTCTGTCCTGTCCTCATTGACGCGCACCCGGTCTGCACAGCTGCCCCTTGGCACCCCCACCCCCATCCAATGACGACAGAAGTCACACCTCTCCACCAAGCCTTGCCTGAGCGGCCCGAGTATGAGCCTCAGATGGGTCCTGAGGCTCCAAGGTGAGGCCATTTGTCATGGGGCTGGAGCCACTTGGCCCACTGGGGTCCCCTCCCTCAACCCCAGGCTCTAAAGGCGAGGCACTGAGATCCTTGTGTACATTAAAACGCAGGAGCCTCCATATGTCCAGAAACAAGCAAACTAGTCTGGCCTAAGTGGTCTGGCCCAGGGATGCCTTTGGAGGTCACAGCCCTACTGTGCACACCAGACCAGGGTCTGAGCCTAGATCCAGCCCCACACTTGCTGGGGACGACTTTGACCCTCAGCGATGTCTTTCTCTGTGCGAACAGCAGAGTTGGGCTGTCTAACCATGAGGGGCTTTCATGCTTGTCTGGAAGCGGGAGGGGGAGGTACCCCTTCACACACACTCCAGACCCTTTCATCAGCTCTATGATCCTACCTACCTCTGCACACAGCTGGGGGCTCCCAGCTTGGCTCATGTTGGGGCCACCCTGAGTAAAAATGACCTATACCCCACACCTCCCACTGACTGATGGAATTTTCTTCCTTGTGCTATTGCAGCCCTGGGGGATTTGGGCACCAGCGAGAGTGGACAGCTGGAAGGCAGTTTGCCTCTCCTTCCCTGCCTTGTCAGCACCGAGCAGTGGCCCGGGGTTCTGCTGAGTCAGTGTGGCTAGGCTGGGTCTTGGCTCTGCGGCACCTGCCTGGGCCGGTCCCCTGATGGAGGCTCTTCTCGCTTCATTTCAAATTTCACCCTGTGTAATGCTGTACCCCACCCTGTGTTTATCACCCTGCCTTTCTGTGCATCCCATGGGTGCAGGTGTCCACGGGGGAGGAGGGAGAGAGGAGGGGACCCCACAGGGCTAGGAAGGAGGAGGCCGGCTCAGTCCACAGAGGGGTGGTTTCGTTTTCACCTTGTAGGACAGCTCTGGACCCCTAGATACAGTCTCAGCCTCCCGCTGACTGCCAGGATGGCAGTCACCCCAGCCATGGTCTCCACTCCTGGGCTCCTCCTCCCTGCACCCATTTGTAGTCTGTTACAGAGAACCCGTGAGGAGCGCTGCCCCTGAGTCCCAGGGCCAGCACCCCTGAGTCCCAGGGCCAGCACCCCTGTAGTGCACATCTCACAGTATACTGCAGAGTCCCGAGGGGAAGTGTGTTGGACCCCATTCCTGCTCCAGAAGTCCAGTGGGGACCTGGCCAGAGGTGTGGCTCCACTGTGGGAGAGCAAGCCATGCATGCTGGGAGCAGGGGTTCGTCTCCAGCTGTAAACACCAGGCTATGCAACACTGACCTATAATCCTAGCTTGCCAGAGGCAGGAGAATCAGAGGTTTGAGGTAATTTTCTTTTCTTTTTTTAAAGATTTATTTATTATGTGTACAGTGTTCTGTCTGCATGTACACCTGCAGGCCAGAAGAGGGCACCAGATCTCATTACAGATGGTTGTGAGTTACCATGTGGTTGCTGGGAATGAACTCAGGACCTCTGGAAGGGCAGCCTTTAACCTCTGAGTCATCTCTCCACGAGGTCTTTTTCAAACGCGCAGTTAAGAGTTCAAGGCCAACCTGGGCTACCTGAGACTTCCTCCAGGGTTGTCATGCTCCGTGGAAGGGAGGAGTAACCATTTGTATCATGGGTAATATGTCCTGTGAACTTCTAGGTTGTCACAAAATGGTCTGAAGAAGTGTTTTCCATTTTCTTATCTGCTAGTTGGGTCACCCTGGTGGCTGAAGGCACCTGTCAGCAGTCATGGGCTAGTGATGGGACCCAGCAGGACTTGGTTACAGGGTGAATGGGAGCTGGAGATCTGAGCCCCTCGAGCCTCAGTTTCCACATCTTTGGCATGGGATGAAGGTGGAGTGCCTTCCCATTTGACCATGCTGGCTGAGATAATTTAAGGAAAGTCACTGACTCATGGAGACCCTCCTTGTCCAGTAGCTCCTCCCTTACCCTCTGCTGGGACCACATATGTGACCCGGGCCTTGGAAGTAATAGAAAAGGAAGAATGTCCCCCTGCTGTGAAATATTTAACTATGCAAAGATGTGTTGCATTTAATCATGTAAAGATGTGTTACTATGGTTTATCCTGTGGAATGTTACTTTAACTGTGTAAAGGTTGTTACATTTGTTTCTGCTGTGGAATGTTACTTTAACTGTGTAAAGGTTGTTACATTTGTTTCTGCTGTGGAATGTTACTTTAACTGTGTAAAGGTGTGTTACTTTTGTTTATGCTGCATTTGTTTAACTATGTAAAGATGTGTTGCTGCTTCACCTTGCCTGCCTAAGGCACCTGATTGGTCTAATCAAGAGCTGAACAGCCAGTAGCTAGGCAGGAGAGAGATAAACGGAGATGGCAGGCAGGCAGGCAGGCAGAGAGAATAAATAGGAGGAGAAATCTAGGCTCAAATGAGAAAATAAGAAGGCGAAGAGAGGGAGAAAGAGAGGGAGGGACACACCCAGGGCCAGATGTCAAGTAACCATCAGCCAGCCAGACTCGAGAAACAGTGAGAGTAAGCTACGTGGAAGGAAGAAAGGCAAGAAGCCCCAAGGCAAAATGTAGATAAAGAGAAACAGGTTGTGTTAAGAGAGCTAGTTAGAAAGCCTAAGCTAGGCCGAGCATTCATAACTAATAAGTCTCTGCGTCATGATTTGGGAGCTGGTTGGTGGCCTAAAAGTCTGGTTTACACCCCCAGCCAGCATATTTTTGTGTCTTCAAATATGATCGTGACCGTGGCTCAATCCGATCTTTGCACACCAATGTTTGCAACAGAGTGAGTCACAGCAGTCAAAAGATGGAGCCCACTGAGTGCCTGTCATCCAGAGGAAAGGAGCAATAGAGCATGCTACAGCGTGGATGAACCCCAAAACACACGTTACGTGGGATCAGCTAGGCATGGAAGGCTACCTCACACACAACTCCATTTACACAGAAAACCCAGAGTCCGTAAGTATTAAGGAACGAAGGGGAGGGAGGATTCTAGGGTCATGGCTGAAAATGTGAGGTGTCTTTAGGAATAAGACATTTAAAAGTTGCGGCAGTAATGGTCACACGAGCCCCGGGGGAGAAACTAGAACCGCCCAGGTTGCCCATTGTCATCAGGGAAATCAATGAAAGCACACATCCTCCGCCAGTCTGCCTCAGAACCATCCAGAGTTCGGACTTGAAATGTCCACGTCCCGACATCTGAACTGCGATGTCTGGACATGGGAATCAGAGTTTTAAGAAGAACCTGAAGCAATCTGCACACACACACACACACACACACACACACTCATTCACTCACACACAAAGCAGAATCAACACCTGGATCAACAACCCTGTCCCCACCATAGCCACAACCCTGGGGGTCTTACAGGCTCAACTCTGTCCCTGTCCCTTGTTCTTTTTGTTTTATTTTGTGCTGCTGCTGTTCCAAGTCACAGCCAGCTTTGTGGCTTAAAAGAATACAGTTTATTTTCTGTTTCTGGGAGCTGGGGTCTCAGTGGGCCAAGCAAGGCGCAGGTTGTATTTCTCTAGCAGCCTGGGGGCAGGGGTCTGTCTTCCTGCATTTTTCAGACGCTAGAGGCTGTATTCCTTGGCCCATAGTCCCTTCTTCCATCTTCCTAGCCGGCCATGGCTGGCTGGGCCAGTGTCCCATCTCTTGCTACTCCCTTTTCCCTGGACAGGGCCCCCGTTGTGCTTACAGAGGACCCATCTGGAGGGTGTGGGGGGGAGACCCGTCTGGACAGCACAGAACAGCCTCAAGGCTTCTCTCTGCAGCCCTGACTCCCTACATTCACGACCCATCAGTCCCAGGTGTGAGGGAATAGGATGGCGCCTTGGGGGTTTCTGGTGATGGGGGAGGCTCCTCAGAGCCCCTCACAGGAGAGCCACCTGCACCAACCCATGTGCCTTGGCTCTCGAGGACTCCCGTCCTTGACCCCAGAGCTCAGTAGATGGACAGTGAATTTGAAATGGATCCTGGGCCCTGGCCACATCTCTCTGCCTCTCAACTCCAATGCGGATTTGAAGCCCATCCAGGAACAAGCCTCCATTTGCCGGGCCGGCTCCTAGGATTGGTCACTATTTATAATTGCGTGATAATGGAGAAGTACACTCAAGCCGCCCTCCCCAAGGAGACCCGCTCTCCTATTTTTAGGCCCCCTGGCCCATGGAGTTGTGTCCTTTTGAGGTCTGTCTGTCCAGGAATTAAGGAAAAGATCCTGGGGGCTCAGTGATCCTGCAACCTGGAGGGGTTCGGGGTTGGGAATGAGAGGTCTGAGGTCGCCACCCAGAGGGACCACAACCCAGGTCGACAGGGCGACTTGGGGGGGGGGTTCAATGTCCCTGGGGATGGTAGCAGGGACTCCTAAGGTCCCCCTGTTGAGCTCTGGCCCCAAATCAGAGCGTGGTTTAATACAAAAGGGTCTGGTGAGAGTGGGAACTGAGTCTGTTCTTGACTAAACTAAAGAACTTGACTGCACTCACGAGGCACGGGAGTGCACCACAGGGAGCTCCCTCCCTTGTTTGAGAAAGGATCTCATGCAGCCCAGGTTGGCCTTGAATTCTGTGTAGCCTAGGATGGCCTGGTTGCTTGACACTCTCCTTGCCTCCACTTCCCAAATGCTGGGATTATAGCAGTACTCCACCATGCCTGGTTGATGCTGGGCTGGGGGTGGAACCACGTGGTGCTGACAGCCTCAGACCCCTTCCTTCTCAGGGACAAGGTCTCACTTGTATCCCAGGGCTGCCTGTGCGTCCCCAGCAATCCTCCTGCCTCAGTCTCCTGGGTCTGGCATCACAGGCCTGAACCAGAACACCCGTGTCCTTGGAAGCATTTGGCAGGAGCCTCAGTGATGGCTTCCTGACTGGCAAACTGACTGTAGTCCCTTCTGATTTCTTGGAGTCAGTGGTCTGTAGGCTAAGAGTGCTCTGTGCCCGGTGGCGCATGCAAACCTTGCGAGTCACCCCACCCTCACAGGATCATAGAGGTGGCTGCTCAGAGTTCAAATCTATGTTCTGATTCTAACTCAACTCATTAGGGTCTCCCACCAATTAAACAGGGATGTACCTGGTGTCTCTCAGGCCCCTGAAGCATGTGGTACTCACTGGAGAGCTGTGATGGCTCCCCACATTGCTTGTTTTCACAGTGGGGGTCCTTAGGATCGCCCGTGCTCCTGGCTTTCCATGGCCAATGCACAGATGCCGTCACAGTCCATGGCGGAATATGCCAGGTATGAGCTGGCCTATGCAGTTACATAGAAGGGATCCGGCAAGCTCCTGGCTGAGTTACTGCTGCCCTGAAATCGGCCCTGTGGGACGTCTACATTGTGTAGTCACTGATGGACTTCCTAGAGGGCCACTAACCAGCAAAGTCTGGGTGTTTACTGCGGGCATTGTCATTTCCGTCACTTGGAGCAGATGAATCGTTATTTGACCCTGGAAGCCACTCCAGGAAGACAGCACTGTTGCTCCTGACACCTTACAGATGGGGAAACTGAGGCTTCAGGAGGTGAAGTCACCTGCCAGGACAAGCGTGATCCCACAGCAGGGCCAAAGGCTTGACATCTCTGGGCTCAGCTGCTGCTGGTTTCCTAGGGACCAGACTTGCAAATCACGCAAGCAGGCACAGAGACAAACAGGTTTGTCTGCCTCTGGCTTTTAGCTCCTCGGGGGACCTGTGCCCCCAAGGAGAGGCAGTTACCTGGTGACAGAGACAGCCCTGGGGAGAGAAGTCGCCCTGTGTTGCAGCAGGAGGGAGCCCTCCTGGCTCCTTGCAGGGCAGCCACACCCAATGTCACGCTCCAGACTCAGTCCAGCCCGAATGACGCCAACAGGAGCATTGGTAAAATTGAACGAAAGCGCTGGCGTCCTGGACCAGCGGCAGCAGGCTTCGTGAGGACCAAGCCCTGCTGGGTGCTCACATCGCTGCCTGCCGAGGGCGGGGGTGGGCGCTGCTGCGGCACCCACGCAGTTTCCTGGAACCATCTGTCTCTGTGGGGCTACAGGTGGGGACAATTATGGACTCAGTTTGGACATTCCGATCTCTGCAGTCCTCCTGAGAGCCCACGCCCACCCTCTCTCCCTCCCAGTCCATCTGGAGTGAAGTGATATCTTGTCCTTGTTTGCAGCGTAAAACCCAATCAGGCTGGGCGGTGGTGGTGCACACCTTTAATCCCTGCACTCGCGAGGGAGATCTCTGTTGGAGGCCAGCCTGGTCTACAGAGTGAGTTCCCAGGACAGGCTCCAAAGCTACAGAGAAACCCTGTCTCGAAAAACAAAAACAAACAAATAAAAACCTTGTCAGGACCCTGCACACAGTAGGCCGTCAGCAAACGTGCACTAAATGAGTTAACAAACACCCAAGTTAAACTCGTCACTCTCTTTCCCGACTCCTGAGGACTCCTCGCATTTGGGGGTGGGGGACTCTCCTTGGCGACCACACCCCAGCCTTCCTCTAGGTGGCTGGTGTCTTGCTTAAGAGCAGCTGGGAAAAACAGGGGGATCCCTGAGAAGGCCTCTCTGAGGATGTCTAGGAGGAAGAGGGAGTCTGGGTAGAAGGATCGAGCCGGCAGGAAAGGCATTGTCAGTTCGGGGTGCTGGGGGTACTGGGCAGGGGGGCCGCGACCCTGAGAATGCAGCCTCTGACAGGAAGCCCCAGCTGGAATCCAGACACAAAACTAAGTTGCAGAAAGGTATAGGTCATGGCGTGTTTTAGGAGCCCCAACACCCCGGGATCCAGGGAGCCCTTTCCAGACCTCCACACCCCACAAAGGTCTGTCCGGATTTTTCAGATTCTTGAGTCTACAGTCCCCCAGAAGCAGTCCAGCCCAGTCAGCAGCGATACCCCACAGCCAAGCTTCCCTGGCCGGGAGAGGTCTCCGTGAGCCCTGGGCAGCTGCAGGGAGGAGCCTCTGAGGAGGACCCTCAGGGAGGATCTTCAAGAGCTGACCCGCCTCCCCGGGGGAGGGGGCGCAGAGGGGACCTTAATCGGTTTTCAGCAATTAGGGGGGTTCTTCTAGCTCTGCCAGGCTCCGCGTTGCTGTAAGAACTGCCAGGGCTCTGGGTCCTGGTTGGCCACAGTCGGCTCCTGAGAGCCCCAGCACCAAAGAGCTGGGCCCACCTGCGTCCGTGACCCCAGCACTTCCAGCCAGAACAGACTTTAGCAGCTGGACCTGTCTGAGTGTCACCTATCTGGGC